GTACGACTTATATACAAAAAAAATGTTTAAAATTTGAAAGGAAAAAATGTTCGATGGAACCATCGATATAATCGATWATTTTTTCCATCGATGGAAAAACCATCGATGGAGCCGTCCATCGATGGTTTCCCAACTCTAATTTGCAGCCCTACGAGAAACGCTAAAAGATACTTGTAAAAACAAGCTTGTTTTCCTTGCCCACAAAATTTAAAAGTTTAGTTTTTAAAATATCTTCCCACTAAAATAAGGCTTTTTTACTCAACAAAAGTTGGCAACACTGTCGCCCACAGTAATCGCATTGCTGATAGTACTCGTGCTAAGCTGTAACCCTTTGAGAATTATAAGGTCTCCGATTTTGCAAAGAGTGCAAAGGCGACGGGGACCAGCCTATTAAAACATATAAAATGGAGGGATAAATACTCATTGGCTTTATTAGCAAATAAAAAATATGAATTGTTTGAAATATTAATAAATGCGAATTAATAGAATTATAGACGGACGGACGAATATAAAGATGTACGGATGGACAGAGGCGATGTTTAATCTGTTCTTATTTTTGCGACTTATTATGCCCTCAACCCATTGAAAATGGGAAATCAGGGTGTTATGGTTTTGTTGAAATGTATGTAACAGGCAGAAGGAGGCGTGGCAGATCCCACAATGTATATATATTCTTGAGTCGATATAGCCCTGTCCGTCCGTCTGTCCGTCTGTCAGTATGTTCGATGTCAATTTCAAAAGATATAAGAGCTAGATACTTGAATTTCGTTTTAAATGACCGTATATACAAAATACCGTAATTCAAAATGTTTATATTTAATTAAATGATTTCTATTTCTCTTATATTTTTAAATACATCGAAATTGAAATGTTTAACCATACTTAATGTCCATTTTTATAAGTTTGGTTCAGGGTAGTGTTTAGTCGAGCACTCTCGACTAGAGTTTTCTTACTTGTTTAATATGGAATAAATAAATTAAGATGTAGAGTATAAATAAAAATAAAAAATTGAAGTAGAATTAGATTTGAGATTAGTAGATTTGGCTTAGGTTAAAAAGGAAATAAAATAAATAATCTTCTGGAAAAAAATCTTGTTTTCTGAGATTTTGGCATATTGTCTGATTAGAAATCTAATGCATTATTATTATTTAATTGAAATTTGTTCATCTTCAGCATGTCTTTGCCGATCGTATACTATTAGAAATATTTTTCTTTATGAGAGACAATAAATAATTAATTTAAATAAATATTATGGTAGGCTTGATGTTATCCAAGGTAAAAGTTACTGAGGTCCTTATTTGTGCGATAGAAAACGGGACGATTGTTGCGTGGTTGAAGCTCACGATAGTTATTGCGTATTAGGTTTCCATTCGAGTCCTGGAGTATCCACAATTTGGATATATCTGCCAGGGATATGGGCAGAGGATCAGCAAACACTGTCCAAGTGACAGCCTCGTTACACTCAGGTGTGGTCAATGACCCCTTGTAGGTGAAAAAGTCACGCGTATTCAAGTCACCCAGCAACTGGCCAAGGGTCAGGGAGCCAGGCAGATCCACCTCAGCTCCATATTCGACTATGTCTGGAACAGCATTGAAGATCTTTCTCAGACCTGGATACGCGCGATCCGGGTTCTGAAATTTGTGATTCATATAAGTCGAGATCATTGTTGTAGATCACCTAAAGCTTACTCTGACTATCTTGAACATGACGCCCAGCACAGCAACGCCGTCGATATGATTGAGGGCTTCCGTAAGGTCTTCGTAGCGCGTGTTGCGATGCACAATGTGCATTTCGACATCGAATCGCCTTCGGTCGATCACGTGCTCAGATCCACGGGTCACAGGCGAGCCCCAATGGAAATGCACCCCCTCGGCTACATATTGCCCCTTGAGCAGACCTCCTGTGATGAAAGGCTTCTGGCCATTTCGAGTCTCTGGTATCGTCATATCAGCTGCAATGCGACATTTCACAATGATTATATATGTATATATGCATGGTATTATATTTCTATCTCAGCCTACCTGTGTATCCTTTGTTGACCAATGTCAGCGGTCTATTCAGTCGAACGTCATAGTTGCCAAAATATATTCGTGGCAGCGGCACAATGAGTGACTAGAGAAAAGGGAAAGCAGTAAACGCCGTGTTTAGGCTGTGTATACCCCATACAATCGTACATGCGACAATGCTAATAGTGAAAACTAGCTTCAAATTGCGTACAATTTGAAGTAAATTGGATCATTCGGAAGTAAGCTCTGGAAATGCGCACCATTTATCAAATTATCAGCTGTCAACGCTTGAGACGGCGCAAACAACAGCTTTTACGTATTATGTGCTGTAATATGGTATGCTGCACTCGATTGTCTGACTATTGTCTGTAATCACGTGTGGGCTTAGCTAAGGCCTTCCGATCTTTATTGCGAATCTTTTCCGTAGTGCAAAATTCATTAAGTAAGAATTTTGCAGTCGCACAGATATTGCACACAGACGCTTACAGTGCGAACAGAGTAAATTGAATTTTCGTAACGTCCGTCTGCAGCTAAAGAGCTGGGGTCTCAAATATTTATCGAGTTTATTATCTACAGCTATTAAAGCTAACGACTTGTAATTCAAACTCTATACTCCGGTATACTACAGATATCAGCTGAAACTGTATGCGCCACGTTTTAAATGCTAGAGCCTCATGTCTGGGGCAATTTGAGGCTCTTGCTCAGTTTGTGTTGAAGCGCTCAAATATTAAACGCGAAAACGCCAAGATGACTTTTCATAAGAGCTCTATACAAATCTGTGCATAATCTAGGTCAATCCTCAAATAAAAGTTGATCCCAGTATTGTTTTTGAACATAAGAATTTTTTTAAACTACCCATAAATATAAACTATTTTTGTTTTCTATTCAATAAAAGGAATACTTTTACCATTTTTTAGTTTTTTTTACTGTTAATACGCTCAACTTTTAATGTATAATATGTATACGAATTATAATAAATGAAATTTCAAAATTTGATTGGAATCTGATCAGACTGCAATCTTATTTTTCCAGGTTTTGTCTCTGCCTTGCCTATGACTAAGGAACCTGCAGATTCGCCCTGACTATAAGATTGGATATATTGAATATATTCGAAAAGCTTATTAATGAATAAATCAAAAATGGAACTTGACAAATGAGCCAAAACTATGAGCAGTTTCATTCATAATTTTTAAATGAATCACCCTATTAAGGGGGATCAATTTAATATGCGAGTGTCAGATTTGCATTTTTGAATAAATAAAGGCAATACCACATTGAATATTATTGGCCTATTATGTTGGTGATATCAGGCAGGTAGCTCAACGACTGACTGCAATTTAATATATAGAAACTATCTTATTATGTATACAAATAATTATACGATTGATAGGATGCACGAGTATAAGTGAAGTTTATCGAAGCATAAGAGATAAATCCAAATGAACTTTTACGGTCCAAGTGTAGCAAGCCCTTGATAAATCTGTTGATAAATATATGTATATATAGACTTACAGTATCGACAGAGAGCTTGATAGGCGTTTGACGAAAGCCGGTGGCGCAAATTCCTTGCCAGTCAGCGCCGTTTTGATCGAAATTCCAATCTGGGTTTTGAGAGGTACCATCTAAATTATGTATATTGAAAAAAAAATTAAAGCTATTAATGAATAAATAAAATATTGCTATTTGAATTGTATTTAGTTTTCCAAAATTCCATTCTCTATTTAGAGCGATGCCATCCAAAAATATATATTAATACAAAAAAATATATATTACGTGAATGCTTAGAAGCTGAATCTTTATTCATAAGTTTTCACTTTTATTCATGAGGATTGCCGTTTCTCTCTTATTTTTCGCACGCATTTCGCCTTTTATGCCATTTCGTTTTCTTTGTTTTTTCTTAAGCGTATTTGCCTATTAATCACTTATAAATATATATAATTTAATTCATAATCATCAGTTTTCGACACAAGACTTCACCGTGGCTTGCCTCCAATTACCATTTGATGGACTTTGATAGGCGAGAGGCAGCAAGAAGAACAGTTTTTGGAGTAGATTAACGCCCATGTTTAGCTTATCTGGGGTTACTTCTAATTGGACTTGGTCTTTTGTCTTCACTCCAGTTTATGCACTATTTTTCTTTTTCTCTTTGGAACTCTCACTGCACCCTTGACTACTGCGGTTACCGCTTGAGCGCAACTAAAGTCGCTCTGGCCACGCGCCGAATCTTTTATACCCGAGCAAATGCGCCGCCGCCGCCGCCGCCGCCGAAGAAAAAAGACCCGCAATGCGCATATTTGAATCGGAGCACCTTTGCCGGGTACCAGGCGTTCTCTAATTTACAGATTTAGCCTTTTTTGGGCGCTGTCACAAATGTAAATCTTATGTAAATGAGAAGCACTGTGGTGATCTACAAAGACCGAATACTCAAACTAACTAAGAATACATACATATACATATGTAGCATAGTTAGCTTATATTAACAGTATCAGCTGTAGCTTTCCAATACATTTGATAAGACAATCAAGCTCATATGCAAATTTCGGCAATAGTCATTGTCAAATTTGCCAATAGTCATTGGTAAATGCCAAATGATAAGCAGTCTAACTGCCTTCTCTTATTAATAGAAATTCGTCTCGAAATGCGTAGTCGCACATTTGGAGACCAATTGAATGTATTTTTTTCAGAAATATGACTAGCTATGGATTTTATAAAAAGTGATTGCAGATAAAAAGAAATCTTTGTTGCTAATCGAGTTTATTTGATACAATCAGTTCGACATTTAAAAGACTTTGATTTTCAGCGCATTAAGAACAATATAATATTTCAGCAATTACAATAGCTCCAATATATTGAATAGGTAATTGAACAATATTAGCCAATGTGCAGGGTGTTTAATCTTCGATGATCCGAGAATATCTGGTATTTCATGCATTTCATTAGGTCTAGCGATTGGGAGAGAGCACATGCATATGTATATATGCAGTCATGTATGTGTATCTTCTACTAGTGTATGTGTGTCAAAAATTTTACTCATTATATTTATGTAAATTATTATTTATCCTAATTTACATCTGCTCCATTGATATTAAACTGCTAGTTTAAAGTCTGTCCGTATTTTCTTTATCGAATATTTTGGACATGGTTATAGCTAATATGTTAAGAGTAACTTTCTCTAGTTAGTAATATCCATACATTATGCACCCCTGTGCATCTTTATTCTTTGAAGAATTTCTAAGCATATTTTACGAATTCATTCATCCATATTAGTCTCTAAATTTGGTTCATATTTTAACCATACAGGCCAAGATGTTAAATACATTTTAATCTAAATTTGAACCAAACAGTTCAACAACCTTTACGGTCTAATTCCAAAATTATTAAAATATTTACTTATTATTCATAAATTTGCCGAACCGCATATAACACTTCTTTAGGCTCCATTATTATATTAACCTTATCGAAAACCAGTTATAAAATTATATCTTCTACACCTTTATTGCTAGAGTCTCCAAATTTTTAATGTATGCTTACATGCAATTTATACAATTTCGGTTTTTGTTAAAATTTACCCCCCATCCTTAAATTCACCCCCTCACCCTCACTTTTGTAAAAAGCGTATTTCAAATACTAGAGACTTGTGCTTTGGCAATTACATGCATATCCATGTTATAATCATAATCTGAATTGTGTGATCTGTGTGTGCGTACGTGCGTGTGTGTGCGTGTTTCTTGTGTAAGCTGAGACGCGAAAATTATTGAAATATCTATTGCTCCAAGGGTTCAGGGGATCTCGTAGTCGAGCAGTCTCGACTAGAGCTTTCTTACTTGTTTTTATTATTTTTCTGTGCGTAGCAGACGGCACGCGGTATCTCCTAGTCGGTCTCTGTCGAGTAGAACAATCTTAATTGGATATTCATTGTATATAATTAATTAGAGTTCCATATCACACTGACAACTCGAACATCCACTGGCATTTCTGATCAATAAAAGCTAATTTTGTATTTTTTCGTCTCGGTAATGGATATGTGAAGACAATATATATAACATGGATAAACATTTTTGTATTGAATGATAACCGCATTGTTGTACATAAATTGTTATTCTACTGGGAACAACGATACAAATTGAGATAAATATAAATATATACTAAGTATTAACCTTATGCATAAAATATCTGCTCTATGTTATTTGTGGCCTTCATGTTTGTTATCGAGAACATGTATAATTAATTATTAGCAGATAATGCTTATGCAAGTTCATCAACAAATACATTGGCTGTCGTAGGTAACTTTTAAAACAATAATCAGCACATGCTTAGATATGCCTTCATATTATAATTTGACAGAGATCTGTCTAGGAGTAATGAAAATTATAATAAATGTAACTTAAAACCGTTTTGATATTTGCTTTCTTAGTCTATACAATTTTCATTATTATTATAACTACTGCTTAATTGCAATATCATTTACAATGCAATGTTAATGAAACAAATTAGATTTGTTGCTGCTAAAGCTCTGTAGCAAAGTAAATAAGTTTGTTGGGTCAGAAATCACCGACTGCATGAGAAACGAACTCAAACTGCCGCTCCATGCTTCCATCCGCATCTAGCGTGTCATCAATAAAGTGCATTTCGACATGTTCCTGAAATGCCTTGAACGAAACTTGGCTGGAGTACAGCTTGCCGCACATGGGGCACGTCTTGTCTATGGCATCAGCCTTCAGCTTTTCCTGGATGAAGTTTAAGCGGGGAGCGGGCACGACCGATGGTGAATGCCCGTTGATTGTGTCGAGCACTTGGCTTATTGTGTGCTCATTGTTGCTGTACCGCTTGGGCTCGGTGTTATCTTCAGTCTCTAAGCTTTTATCAGCCATTTCCGGCTTGTTGGCTGCCTTGCGCACACACTCCGGACACGGATTCATCGCTGTGGCAAGATAAAATAATAATATTACATTTGATTAATCGAATATAGACAGCCGACTCACCCATGCGCGTCTCCAACTGTGAAAGGGCGGAATTGAGCTCTTGCTGTTGTTTCATCGCCTCCCGGCGCAAGTCCTGCAAGCCTTCCATGCACTGCTTTGCATCGACATTGGTGTCCAACTCGTTTACAGTGTTAGGGTCGTCCACATTCAGTCCACATGGATAGCCTAGTTCTACCTCGCTACCATCAAATTCGTCCAGCGGAATCTCCTCTAGGCTGACCTCTGTTATCATCTTCTGACGCAAGTGCGGATTTGGCGAGTGCTGGGTAAATGTTTTAGAACGAATGAGGTTCTGATTGGCACCAATTGAAACTTTCCCTGCGCCTCGAGCATGTGCAGGCAAGGCCACTTCATCGTCTTTCGATTCGTGTTGCTGGTCTTTGGAGATTTTCGACAGATGAGACCACAGTCTTCGGTTCTCGTTAGACACCATGCTTATTTGATCCTCCAGCTGTTCCTTTTGGCGTTGCAGCTCATCTAATTGCGAGCGTAGCGACGAGACATCGTTACTGCAGTCTGTTTTCTCCTGTGCACTGCCATTGGCGGATGACGAGCCAAAAGTGCCCTCGCGTAATCGTTGATTTTCCTCCTCCATGTTAGAAACACGTCGTTGCAATTGTATGCAGCGCTCTTTCATTGTCTGCAATGCCACTTGCAATGCGTAGTTCATTTTGTCAGTGGAGTTAGAAGTGGTGGTAGCTAAGGAATTTGTTGAGTTTTTCACAGTTTTGGTAGTGTCCATAGTGAGCCTGTTAACAAACTCTCGTAGCAATGTATGTAAAGAATCTCTAAATTACTATTAGATATCTGTATCGCAGCTTAGCTGTTTTCATTTTCCTCAAATGTAATGACGAATGTTTATTTATCTATCGATACGACATATCGATGTATTCACATAGTTGCAAGCTCTGTGCTGCCAGACTGTTCGAAATTATTTTATCAGACCGGAGAGGCAAATTTAAATAACGTTAATATAAATGATAAAATGGCACAAGAAAACTTCTTTACGTTTAGGGCAGACCCATTATAATTACCTAAATAATACGAATAATAATTCATAATTAAAAGAATGACATAAAGAATATCGGCAGTTATGAAACATCACTCAAGTACAGGGCTGTTAGTGCAAGGCCCTCAACAGCTGTAATAATGTTATTATGCGGCAAAAGCTTAGTAAATAATTTCTTTAAATATAAGAGAAAAGTGTTTTCAAACATTTTAGTGAGTAGCCGACGGTATAAGGCGACCATTCAGCAACCCAAAATTTTGTTCTTTGGCACTGATAATTTTTCACTGCCAAGTTTGAAAAAGTTGCACCTGAACAACTTTGACGTAAGCGTAGTTACCTCCTTCAAGAGTCCCGCGAACTGTGTGCGCAGCTACGCCGAACAGCAAAAACTCGCCCTCTACCGCTGGCCAATATCGGAAGAGCAGTGTGCCGCCTACGAGCTAGGCGTAGTGGTATCGTTTGGTCACCTGATACCTTTACATATAATAAACGCGCTCTCCCGCGGCATTATCAATGTCCATGCTAGCTTGCTGCCCCGATGGCGCGGTGCTGCACCCATCATGTATGCCATAATGGAGGGGGACGCCAAGACTGGCATTACCATAATGAAGATAGCTCCACATCAATTCGACATTGGCCCCGTAAGCAGAACCTCGGCATCAATCCTACTATTTCGTTTAACTCACGTGATCCAGCTTTCAGATATTGGCCCAACGGGAGATGCCCATTAGAAGTGATATTTATATGCCGGAGTTGCATTCTGCCTTGTCGCATTTGGGTGCCGATTTGCTTGTCGACACCGTGAACAACTTGGATGAGAGACTCTTGAATGCGTCTCCTCAAAACAATGCTGATGCCACTTATGGTAGACGTTTATATATGCATATATCCAAGTCATTCGTATCATCAAAATTATTTTACAGCACCGAAGATTACGTCAAAGATCACAGAGGTTCGATGGTCACAGCAAACATCAATGGAGCTATTTGCCCGGTATCGTGCCCTCTATGGATTTAAGAATCTAACTACCTCTTTTCTGGGCAAAGCTGTGCAGCTGCTGGAGCTGAAGCCCCTTGAAATTCAATTGCCAACGTCTACAGTTCTAGCCCCGGGCTCCTTTTACTTCCATCGTCTGCGCAAATCGCTTATGATCGGTTGTGCACAAGAAACCCAGCTGGAGGTGCTACAACTGAGGGTCGAGGGCAAGAAGCCAATGAGCGCTCATGATTTTAACAATGGATTTCTTAAGCGGGCGCAATCGTTACAGTTCACGCAAAATAAATTAGTTAATTGTTAACAAATGAAACAGTTTTTATTATTGATAAGGAAGCCTCCTAAGCCAGGTTGGACGGCTTAGCTTCTTTGGTGTCCGAGGATTGCTGTGTCGACTTCTGCAGCAGGTTCTTAGTGAACCACATGGGACGAGGCTTCTTCATTTCAACTATGCGTTTGCCGGTAGCAGCATCCGTCGCTTGATCTGCCGTCTCGCCCTCGTACAAAATGATCACTTCTTGCTCGACAGGCTCCAGCCCTAATTGTGCTTGTATTTTATCCTGCATGAGCTGAGTTTCCTGTCGCACTTTGTCATAGCAGTGAGCTGTAAAAAACAAATTGTTTATATAACTACGAGTTTGCTATAGGGGCAACACAACTTACGGCACAGAAGGCCCAATTCGTAATCGTGACCACAGTGCTGACAGGAGCGCAGATTCCTCTTCTCCTTCAGCGGCTTCCATACATACTCAGGATAGCCAAATTTGCGGTTTAATCGTTTCTCCACACTGCGCCGGTGCTTTGGCACAGCCCAGAGCATGCCATCGCCTATGAGGTCTTTCAGACTGAAGCTCTGTGATGTGCTGGTGGTCGAACTGCTAGGTTGGTGCACTAAATAGGCTAAGGCGGGCGGTGGTCCGCCGTGGGGCAAGAACAGTCGTTCCAAATGATTAACAAAGTTTGCAATTGATATAAACAAATTACGAGACATGGTTAAGCTGAAATTGTAGAAATAGATTTATGTAAATGTAGTGATGGCCGCGACTGTTATCGAAAATTCAATTCGATATATGGAACATCTATCAGTAAACTCAGTAACTAATTTGCCTAATTTCCATAGATAATGAAAGCTAAATGCTTAGAGTTATTGGACAAATATATGTTGGTTACTTTGATGAATCAGTATACATTGTGACAAGGCGTTGATATTTTAATTTTCATTTAATAACTATAGCACTTGTGTTAGCGATATAATCGATACAATCAGCGTGCACGTCAGCTGATTGACAGTGTAAACTAAGTTGTCAGCTCTGCTTTTACTAGTCGGCGGCTTGCACAGCTGTTATTTCATTATTACGTCAAAACAAAAAGTGTGTGGTGTCGAAATATATAAATGTGTTAAATGAAAAGCGAGATAAACATTTAAAGCAAAGCTTAAAGGAAAGCTGTATGAAAAGCCTTTAGGAGAGCAGGGTAAACGTGAAAACATGATGTTGATGGTCGCGCAACAGGCGTCTTGACAGACATTGGGCGCAGGAACTTAAGTGAAGACATTCAGCCAAGGTTGAATACAGTGCATCCCAAACTGCTTGATAGACATGCAGTTTTCATCTGCCGCCGAATCTTAAATCCCACCGTCAAGTTCAAAATCACTGCGCTCGGGCGTTCTCTTCGGCTGACATTCGTACTTCAACACACGAGCACAGAAACTCACCACGCTCAAAGCGACGACCGCGCGCAGGCGTAGCAAGCTACGTGCGCAGACAGCGGTAAAACGCGGAACACTTCGCTGAAGCTGCTGCAGTTGGACGCAAGCAACGCGCTTTGTCCGTCTCCTCAACAATCTCGTCCCGTCGAAGTTCGCCAATCCGCGTGTGTGCATGTCTGTCAGCATATCTCTGCATCCACCTGAGTAACTGTAGCCATAGCCGTATCCGTAGCTGTAGCTGTGTTGTCTTTTAGCGAATCGAAACCCATGCCTAGAATAATGCTGTTCAACGTCTAACAATTTTGTTCACGTTTCATCAAGTTTTGCAGTTTTGCAGTGCAATTGCAACAGCAAGGGCTTGAGTTCACGCTTAACGCTAGGCACTTGTTTTCAGCCGACGAATAGAAAACCCAAATCAACCGAAATCTAAATCAAAACAAACCAAAACAAAATAAAAAGATATAAACAAAATGGCCTGCTTAAGTACTTCCGGTCGCGTCGCGTGCGGTTCGCGTAGCCACAAATTGATCTGTCGCCTATTCCTGAACCACAGCCCGCATAGTCGGCAGAGCAGCAGCCAGCTGCTGACGGGCGACACCACGGCAGGACACCCAAGGGAATACAGAGCAACGCCCAATCAGCAGGTGGCTCGCAGCTTTCATGGATTAACTCTCGGCATTAACCAGGATTACCTCAATCTGCTGGTGAGTAGAAAAAGCGGCGGCAATGACATCAACTGCAACACCCAGTGGCCCCACACTCGGTGGCCCCCAACTCGTTTAGCGGCCATTTAACAAAAGTGCATTGCGCATGCGCGCAGAGTGTTTACCGCTAATGCGGCTGCGTGACTTCGGATTTTTTCTTTCTTTCTCTCTTTCATTTTTTCGCTTTTCATTTCGCTGCTGCGAAGCCAAAGCCAAAGCCAAAAGAAAATGAAAGTGAAATTGTTGCTTGGCAGTCGCTCTGGCTCTGGCTCTGGCTCTGGCTCTGGCTCTGTGGCTTGCTTTTTGGCCATTGCTTTTGTGCAGGCAGCGTGAAGAAGCAGAAAGCAAAAGGCCGTCGACAACAGTTGCCAGACATTGAAGTTGTTGCTGCTGTTGTCGCTGTTGCTGTCGCTGTTGCTGTTGCTGTTGTGCATGCAGCGCAACAATGAGCGCTGCTGCCTCTGCCTCTGCCGCTGCTTGCGTCTCTGCTCCGAAGCCTCTTTTGCTGATTTTGTTTGGCGGAAGCCTTCGTACTCATTTATTTATTGTGTTTATGTTGCACTTTTTTTGGTCTTGTTATTTTTATTTGCAAGTTGAAATATTTTTTCATTTTTATATTTATACACACACACACACACACACCCATACATGCATACTTATTTTTTTCCTATAATATTTTCTAATGTTGTCATTCGTTTCATGCCTTTATCTTTTCTCTTTTCTTCTCATTTCGCTGAAAACAGAAATTGTTGTTATGCAACTTCTTTTGCTTTCATATATTCACATAMATATATATTTATTTATTATTGTTTATCGCTGCAAAAGTTTAACAGCTGTTTGTGAAGTCTAAGCACGGCACAGTGGCTCTGAAACCTCAAAGCACCAGCTCATTTCAAACTGCGTCAGCAACAAGGGCGCATTCTGTGGCATTGTTTTCATATTTTTTTTAAAGCCCTGAATTGTTTATACCTTTTTAGATTCAAATAGGTTTGTTATACTAGCAAAAAAAAAAATCAATAAAATGATTGGAAAATTCAATATAAAAAGAAACCAGACACCTCGTCGTATACTTGATATTTCGGTTTCCATTCTTTATTGAGCTCGTTGCCTTGAATATGCGCGGGCTTAAAACATTTTAACACTGCACAATTAGTGCATAATTGATGCTATTTTCAGTTTATTATTTTATGGCACGCAATTTTCGCTCGCCTGCGTATGGCCCTGGATGAGAACTTGAGGCTCGGCTTAATGGCTTAATGCCAGTGCACTTTTCGCAGTCCACAATCGTCAGTCCAATGCAGTTATGCGGCGCATTGCTAGGGCTATAAAATGCGATGTAAATAGTATGCTTAATAATGTTAACGCCTTTCAAGGTCTTGGCATAAATTAACAATATTTGCTTTTGAATCTAAGCATACATATGTGATACAAGTGTGTGTGTGTGTGTGAATTAAACTGGCCGTGTCCCTGTCTGTGTGTGTTGGGGTCTCGGTTCGGGCAAGTGGTATCAAAGGTAAGAAGGGCAGTTGCCCCTATAAATCACATTTCAATTAACTCCTTTGACCTAATGCTCGTTTAAATTGCTTAGCAAGACAGTAATTTATTAAATGACTCTAAATAAATTATTAGAAAAGTGAAATAAGCAAAATGAATGCTCAAAGCGAACTTTGTATGCAGGCGACGTTGTTGGATTATTTATGCATTTTTACTGCTTGAAATTTGGTTAAACCAAATAAAAATTCATTCAACGCCAATTGGTTGTACGCTTAGCACACACTCGCATACCTGAGACAGTGATACGTTCATCTAACTCTATCATAGGTAAACAATAAACAAAACGCAAATAGAAAGCGCACGTCGCAGCAGCAGCGGCGCGGCCAGCAGTGGCAGCGGCAGCGGCAATACTAGTCAAAAAAAAAACAACAAAAAATTAAAAAAAAAAAACCGCCAACAATAGTCTTCAATAGCAACAACAGTTATATATGTATATGTATATATGTGAAACTCACTTGACTTTCATCTTCATTTCATTTGTTTAGCAGCGACGTCAGCGTCAGCGTCGCAGTCGCAGTCGCTACCGCCTCTCATCCAAGTTGGCATTGTTTTTGGCCCAAAATTGTATTGAGAGTCGAATACATGAATATCATGAATATCTGCATGGACATATACATATGTATGTATGTGTACATACTTATACACTTACATGGTGCAAATAACTGTTCATCTATGAATGCGCAACACGAAAACTTGAACTAACGGATTGACTTGAACTGGCCGTTATCATGATCGCCTCGTTTGCCTCGATATGTTTTATACTCGAAATTACACGACTTAACAAATTTCATGAACTCTGCCTCCGCATGTATTCAATTTCGCTTCACTTTCGTTGCGAGCGCGAGAGATTTGCACGGCGAGTTTAACGACTGCGTGCGAATTTGATAAGCAGTTTGAACTGTTTGATCAGTGTCATGCGTGCCCCAATATTTGCATATTTGCATTTGATGAGCTATAGAGCAAGTCAACAAATATATAACAAATGAAACACATACATAGACGTCGTTAGGTCGAGAGCTTCTATTGTCTGAATCTTAGTTTCGCAATCGGCATTCGGCGCTTGCTGGACCCAAATCCGAATCTCGATGGCTCGCGAAAGTGAAACCAATTCGACTTGCACGGTCTTGGACCTGTTTTTAATTTTATTTTACCATTTGTGTTTATGCTATGTAAATTGTTTTGTTGCTCTTGGATTTTATTGTCTTTTATATTTTTTTTCTGTTTCATTGTCGAATATATGTAAATACATATATGAATGGGAATTAGACCTAACCCAAGAAATTCTCTGTTGATATGTAAATTCCAGTTTACACAATTTTGTTAACGAAACTAATTTACTTAAATGCTGTTTGTATATTTAAGTAAGAACAACAACAATATATAATACAAATAATAATAGACGTTGAAATTTTCAATTTATAGCCCATTCATAAATTTTATATTCATATATTCATGTTTGTAAGAATACATGAATATAACTCTAACAATTATTGTGCACATTATGTGTTTAGTAGTATTAACAGAATATTAATGAAATTAGACAGAGAATTGAGTTTCAATCACTGGGAGTTAAACTTAAACCATTTCAGACAACGTCTGTGACTTCTTAAATAAATTGTCATCCCAACCGTATACGTGTTGTCTCTATCAATCTTCTTCTCAAACTTATATTGGAGTTCCCATCCTTTTAAGATCAGACCAAATGAATTGATATTTTTGCTAAGAATTACCCTCATCAGATTCCTAAGCAATCCTTTAGCAGGTATCAGGTATCAGGTATAGTTCTCCTGTAAGTAGTATAAATCAATATATATTTCATGATTCTCTAGATGGTTTTCGCTCAAAACGAATATACTCCTCTTACTACGTGAACGAGTATATAAAGTTATTTTATCGCAAACCTCACTGATTGGCGTAATATAGAATTGGATAAAGAACAATTTATGTATATACGAAATTATTTATTTATAAGAGCATCCGAATAGCGGCTAACGATGATTGCATTATGTCTGAAATTATGGGCAAAAAACTAATTTGCGAGTGAATACCAAAAGTATAACTAGTGAAAGAAAATAATAAATACTCTGGCTAAATGGTAACACCAGCAATAACTACAATAACAACAAGAGCAACAATATCTGTCATATATATATGATGTAGCCATATCGTAAATCTTGGTCTTTGTTACCATGTCTTCATTTTTGTTTTTCGCGCTGGACACTTTCACTGGCAACTGGGGATTGCGAGCCAAGCTGAGCCGCGCCGAGAGATTGCCAAAAAATATTTAAGGAATGCAGCAATATGTGTGAGAGACGCCGAGAGATGCTGAGCATTCTGCATATTGAATAACCTAACAACTTAAAAAAAACTTGAAAAAAAAAAACGATGTAAATCAAACTGGAAATTGACTGATCATTCAGTCTTAGGGTCTAATTGAACGATTGGCAACGTAACGTAGATCTGATCCCGAGCATGCCTAAAATACAAGCGTAGCCAGCGACGACTTTCATTCACCTCACCTGCCTCACCTGTACACCTGCTTGTCGTATTTTTTTCTTTGGTATGGGCATGGCTCGGTTGGGTCTGGGCCTGATGGCCGTTTGGTTATTTCGCTTCATTTCTTCGGCTCGTACTTGCTGACCCAATTCCAGAGACGCATGCGTTTCGTGGCTGTAGCTTGTCCTAAACTGGTTTTTGTGGTTGCGGCCCGCTGCCGCATTGATTTGCAGACAAACTGTTAACTGTTAATGATTGCTGTTGCTGCTGTTGTTGTTGTTGTTGTTAACATTTTCGGGTTTCGATTTGAAAGCCAAAGAAGCGCCGCCGCTACAGCGTGAAACAGTTAAAGTTAAAATCAAGTTTGCACTAGCAGCACCAGCCTCAGCAGCCTCAACAGCAATTGCATAACTGCCCCCAACCCAGCCCAACAGCCTCTTAGTTGGGGAGGCCGATCCCAGCTGTCGCCCCACATTCCATCAATGTCGGTCAACCAGAGACGCCAGCCTAACATATGCATCACCTGCACAATAAACATAACATGAAAATGCGCAATGCCTGGTGACATCAACATACTCTGAAGCTGTACATCACATGCTAATTTCTTTTTCTCTGGACCATCCTGGAAATGAAAATCAGGGTATGATGGTTGTGTTAAATGCATGTAACAGGCAAAAGGACAAGTGGTAGACCATTTAAAGTGCATATATTCTCGATCAAGACGACGGGCTGACTTAGTTTAGTCCTGTTCGTCTGTCTGTATAATTGAACGCGTTGATCTCGGAACATATAAGAGTTACAGACTTCATATTTTTCTGGTTACTTTATGACTTCACAAGATCGATATCTATATTAGTTTTAAGGTTATCGATTAAAAATCAAATTAAAGTTAAGCTTAAAGATTACATCTCTAACATTTTAGGAGCTGGATCAAATCTTGTTTTAAATTC